TGAATAAGGCTATTTGTGTTGCTTTGCCTGGGTCATAACCCAGCTCTATCTTAACATATACATGCGTGTCACCATGAAAAAGCCATCTGATTAAAGTGTTTTTAACTTTTTGCCACAAGAGTGCCTTGGACCTTTCTTTTTTTTCTAACTTTTGTGTCCCCCACCTTCGTTATACTTGTTTGAACTTCCGAGCACTCTGGACCTTTATTTTTTTTCTGAACATTTGATCTTTGATGTTGCTTTTTAGACAATCTTAATTTTTCCACCTTTTGTAATTTGTCATTACGATCTTAATTGGTACTGTTTAGTTGTAGAATTGGTTTTGCAGATAATTCTTCAGTACAACACAAATATTTCACATGTAGCATGGGTTTCTAGGTTTTATTATGTCTCACCATATGGTGTATTTCCATCCACCTGTTTTTATGCGAATTTTCAATTCACACATTAAATGTTTCTACAACTGGTAAAAATGATAAAAGCAAAAAAATCGACAAACTGTAATGGAAAAAGATCTAACTAATAAATGATGAAGAAACACGTGACCTTAACATCCACTGATATGGAAGCTCTACGGAAGAGATGAAAAATAGCAGCAGATTAAAGCAGTCAACTCATTGATCCACACAGATCTGATGCAACCTTCCTCACATCAATACACAAAACCAACATATTCCCTTGTCATATTTCCCTTGTGTTTTCAACAGTGTTTTTCACCGTTTGAGATTTGACTGCGCTCTTATAATTATACCATCGTGTTGCGCCCTCTTCTTCTACAATGGTAAGATAGTTTTCAACCAACTCCTAATAATCACATAATGGTCATTGATGGAAACAGGCATTTATTTGCATTTTCTTTTGCTGATTTTCGCAAAATACATTTGTTGGAAAAAGTCTGATGCTTCTGCAGTTCTGCCATAAAATAACAACAGCTACACAGAATTGATTATTGTCTGTTTTTGTTTGTTATGTCAACATCCCAAATCACACAGTTTACGTATCTTTTTCAGTTACTGTGGCATGCTTCAGAGTGTCTGATGTGAAGGTGAGGTTAACCTTAACTTGAACAAGTTGAATGTGGATAAAATCCATTCAAAAACACGGTGAACAGAAGCCGTGTTCACTGCTTCTTGTAAGTCTCTTTACAGATACTGGCTACCTCAGGAGATATGTAAATATTCTTTAAAGTGTCACACATCTTATTAACAGAAGTGACTAGCATTGGAGATGGGAATCCAAATGTAGGGTAGGCAAAGGTTATGGTGACAGCAACAGTATTTGGACTGCTGCTCATTGCTCCCCACAACTTTGTGAATTCTTGCCAGTTATGAGATGATAAAGAAGAGTTCTTCATGCTTAGCTAACGCTAAAGGGAGTTCTACAATTTGGACTAAAGCCATTGGAAGACAACGCTGTGGTTAGTGTTGGTATATGTTGTTTACCAAGACTCTAATTTACCACCACATGACGCATCCTTACTCCCCAGACTACTCATTAAATGACCTCAGGGTAAATAAATGCAGACAGATGTGCCACAACTCACATACACTCATGCTTATCCCTCAGTGATGCATGATTAACATTTAACCATCAACTTTCACCTGATAATCTGGTAAATTCAGACACCTGCAAACATTTCAACATTGTGCACAGGATCTGGCGTTGTGTATACGCGTCCATTTAAACAATTGTTACATTACACATCTCAGTTCTGTTGTTTTTTTACAGACTTTAATAAACCCAAAAGAGACAAGGACACCAGACAAGAGGTATGACAAGGAGAGAGTTTTGACCAGTTTCAAGGTGTAAATGAGCAGAGATGAGATGGAGGCTTTTAATAACAAAACAAATAGCACCATGCAATACATGTATTATTCATATAAATACACATTACTGTATTTTAACAGCATTACACATGGCCAATAGCAGAACTTGCAGTTCACAAATATGATCATCCAAAAGAATATAGAATTAAGTATATACATCTCCTCCAGTAGATGGTCTGTTTGATTTTAATTACTCCAACTTAACCATCTGAACTAGCTCTATTAAAACTTACTCCATTAAGACTCCATTATACTGGTGTGAATAGGCATTGCATCACTCCTGGATGTTTTTTTTCCTAATCTACTTAGTAGATTAGATTTAAATTCCTTTTGTCATTTCACCCAAAACCTAGAGGTCACACTTGTCTAATTAGCATGCAAACACTGATGTAAGCCTGCTTCCTTTGCAGTGTCAAAGTTTCCTCTTCAAACAAATGGCTCTGAGGAGCTCATTGGTAAGCAGTGCTTAAAGTGGTGTATCGAAAAGCAGTTTCATTCCCCGCTTTAAACTATGACAGGAGTATTTTTTTATCTGCCACGGAGGGAACACAGTGTTGCAGTCTGAACACAGCATGCCACCTAAAACAGCAGACTGCTCAAAACATACCAGATAAACTGTATGGATGAATAAGAAAATGCGGAAAATAATCCTGCTAATTAAAGTATTAAGGTGTCACGATCAGGCTTTGCCTTCTGTGTTCTGTGTGTGTTCTTTGTGTAGCCCCGCCCTCCTCACTCTACCTGTCAGCCACTCCCTCAGCACCAGCCTAACTCCCTTCACCTGCCTCTGATCACTAATCAAGCCCTCATCAGCACAACTCCCCTCACCTGTTCAAGCCACTATTTAAACCCCTGCCTCTCAGTCACTCACTGCCAGACCATTGCCATGTCGACCCGCCTGTTTGGCTTGTCCTGTTCCCGGGTTCCCACATCTGCCTGCCCTCCTTCGTCCTGCTGGATTTACCCTCTTGTCTCGTCTGTGGATTCCCTGTGTGTTAAGTGTCCTGTTCTGATTTAAGTATTCATTAAATTCATGTTTCACTCTACTTCTGGTCTGCATTTGAGTCCTCCATCATGCCCCATGACATAAGGAACAACATTCAGCCCACTTTGTCAATGTAAAGGTTGAGTGAATCTTTAGTTACCCATAGAGAAGGTTTCTCTTAGTTATAAAGGCCCCAAGTCTTTCATACTCATTGAGTAACGGAACGCTTGGTCACCACTTCAGTCTATTCCCACACCAACTTTAGGTGTTTGTTAGTGCAACTAAACACAAGTTGAGAGTCCTCCGCAAAGCCACAGTCTTTCTACAGAACAATAAGTCCTCCAACACACTTCCAGTAGAGTGTTTACATGTTAGTAGGAGATTTTTTTTATACTCATTTCTATTCCATACTCTGCTCACTCTCTGCAGATTCAACAAGACTAAGAGTCTACATCCATTCTAGCAGCTCATTCTAGCAGCATCATGTATTTTCTTGGCAATCCATTCAATCATTTTTTTTTAAAGACCAAAAGCCGAAAGTGTTTACCTGCTGGTGGCTCAGAGAGCAAATGTCAGGGCAATTATCAAAGTCTGTAGCATTTGTCCTCTGGGGGATTCTTTTCATGTACATTGTTATCAATCTTCTGCATACAGTACTTGCAGCTCCATGTCATTGAAAATGTATTTAGATACAAAGCTGGCAAAAATTCTGTTCATTTTGAAATGGTTGCCTATTCTCACTCCACGCCAACCGTCTATGTTAAAATGAAAACCCAAGTTTACACGAAAACATGGATAATCCCATTGAACAATCTTCAATTGGTGCATTACTTTAATCTGTTTATGTTATATTTCTAGTGATCCCTATGGGTCAACATTCTCACGAGGAACCATACCAGACCAGAAAAAAAGCACACATAAAGCTATACTGACCTTGACTTTGTGTTTTGATAGACGTGTAACTGAATATAAAGGAGTTACAGACCAGAAAGTAAGAAATACATTGCTGCTGTGATGAGAGATTCGTGGAGAGATTCTTCTTCATGACACAGTGGGAGAACCCCAGAACAAAATGTCACAGAGCTAATGACCAGATTATCAAGACTTCAACTGAATACAACTGCCAGCAGCAATGCATCTCATGGCATTGTACCACTGCTTTTCCAGAGACATGCATCTTCACACCAGCCCGCACTGGCATCTCATCTCCCCACTGCTGCTCCACTGATGAATAGTTTCATGAATATCTCAGGCATGAGATATTCATGAAACTATACAGTATGAGGTTAACCACAGATGTGTGCAGAACCCACCCGTCAGCATTGTAAATAACAACCTCTCAGCTCGAGCTCTGAATGAGTCATAAAGAACCAGGCTCCCTCAATTGCTTCCCTCTCTGTTTGGAGAAAATGCGAGACACCACAGTCTTATCAGGTCTTTGTTGTTGCTGCACCTCTTTCCCATCTGCTTTTTTCCTGATTTCCTTAAAGGTAGTACACTGTAGACAAGCGAAAGAGTAGCAAGTGGGAAAACACCTATTAGATTGTGAGTAAATTGTCAAGCAAGTTCATATCCATGAAGCACCTGCTGTCAATCTCTGTCAGCACAATGCCCATTGTAACATGATGAACACTTTATCAATGAGACCTTTTTTAAGTGTCAAAGGCCCGCACCAATAGCAGATCATTTGTGCAAATGCAAACTATTCATGGATCAAAAATACTCTGTTTTGATGGAATTTAGCCCATTAGTTCCTTATGGTACAATGCTGTTGTTCGTTTTTGTTGTGTTATTATCATCTATGTATAGCAATTTGAGTAGAAGCTAAATGACAGACACACACACGTATTGTTTGGCAGAATCTTGAGTGCATAGTGATAGTAAGAGGCATTGGCACTGCAATAAACACGTATGTTTCTTATTTTAAAAGACAACTGTACAAAATCTGAAGGTGAATATGAAGGTCATCAAAATCCCAGTGTCATGGTATTGGATAGATAGAGAAACATGATACTATAGAAAGACGCTACAGATAGGTGGGTAGATAGATAAACCCATCGAGTGATGTCACATCCACCCTTGGTGCGCCTCCCCCGCAGTCTGCTGGAACTCAAATATTTGAATATTTCCCCCTCGCTCAAAACTTTTTTTTTCTCGGCTGTGCTTGACGGAGCGCCAGGGAGCGGTGGGTGTGATGCCGGTGAACGTGTGGACCCTGTGCCGCCGACGGAGCGCTCTCTCTGTGGCTCGACTACAGTAGAGACGTGGTAACGTGAACAAGAGGACAGCAGCTCTATGGTAAAGGACTGCGCCTTGGAGAAAAGTGGCTGCCAGGAGCCCGTAATCATGCGGGTCCTGTTGAGCGTCCTGTACCCCGTCCTCTCCCTCACCATCTTCGGATTATACCCCTCTCTGGTGAGTTTCTTATTGCATGTTATTTTATAATCGCTTACTGCCACTTGTTTCATATCAGAGCGTTGATCGCTGCTCACTATTTACGGCTGTATTTCACTCGGGTTTTAGGACATAGGCTTCATCCGGTAGCCTATCTATACAGTATGGGCTCGCCCCGATAGGTGTCAGAATTCTTTTACGGAAGATGTCATGCCAAACTTCACTCAAAAGTCCCACAGTTTAATATTGCTTATTTTACCCCCAGTAATATAAAGCTGGTTAGACAATATTTTAAAGAGCTTCACAAATCCACAGCATGCACTTCACCTCGGTGTAGGTGTAATTCACCAAGCTGCACTTATTCCCATGATAATAATGATTTTAAAATATAATAGGAGTAAGCTAATCAGTATGCATGCCGCGCTCCTCCACAAAGGTGGGCTGAAATCAATTCTAAAACTTTTGAAAATGCAGTGCTAGTGGATCATGTGTATGGCGAATTGGCAAATAGACCCTATTCATTCAGGAAGGTATTTAAATGCTGTTATATCAGAAATCATTTTTCTCCGACAAGCAAGAACATATTTAACTCCCGCTTTTCATTGCATTTATTTCTAAGAAAAAAATATAAAGTACTGTATCATGCATATAAAAGGCAGAACATCGAATCTGCGCCTTACTTTCCCAGAATATCATTGCGTTAATTGTAATTTCTGAGGTTGGATTCATGCTGAAACACAATACCTTTGTGACTAATCACTTTCAGCCTATTATGCACCCATCTTGCCCACTTGTGGATCATCTTTTATTTGTAAGATATATGTGTTGTGATGAGATTGTGAGGGCAAGTGCATATGGGCGAGACAATCATTTCAGCACAGGCTATTGATTGTTTTTAACACATGGTGATGCCTAAGACTCCGTCTCAGAGGAAAAACCTCTTTGTCCACCAAGGACAGTCTCTCTTCTGTCTGAGTTAAATACTGTGTTCCTGTCAGCATTTGCTTTATCTTTGTGCAAATCGCATAAAGTAAATTCGAGGGAATTGCATGGACAGTGATTTGTAGTTTTGTACTCAGGACAACTCCTTTCAAAGTCCCTTATGATTAATGGAGGAATCAATATGTGACTCTGGGTCTTCTGGTGGTGCGGGTGTGGAGCTGTCTGCCTTCTGGTGCTGACACTTCACCACACAAGCTCTCTTGCTATGCAGCAACCCACAGGATGGGAGAAAACATTATCATTTCATCATTGTATTATCATTTCATATGCAGTTGTCTGAACCTTTTTAAGCAGAGCTCAGTGATGCTGAGGAGAGTATACACCCAATACCAGATACTGCTTTATACATAGTTTTGAGATCCTTGACCCTCTCATAGTTCTTAAACAGTTAGGCGATAAATCAATTTGTCAGTTTGTCGTTTTCAGCTCTTCCAAGGCCTTGCTGCTTTTTCAGTTTCTTATGATTTCCAATTATTTATTTTTTTGTGACTGGTGGTCTTACAGAAAAGGCATTTTGATGCCGTCAGTTTTGTTATTTTCAACACTTTATAGGTTAAGCAATTCAGTGAAAGTGTAATGTATACATTGACCAGAAATGAGAATAATCTTCGCAGACATGTGCATCCCTGGTGCACAGCTTTCTGTTATTGTGTTAACAGAAAGCTCTTGATATCAACTGTCATCCTCTTTACATTTTAGAAATACATTTCTGCAGTGTTACCCCTGGTTACCTCTGATGGCTATCATTCAGTTCAGTTTCTATCTTTCATCGGTTTTCATTAAATCAATAGAATACACCGCTGCCATTGAGGAATATGTGATATGGCTGGAGCAAGACCTGCATGCAAATTGCTAGTACGCTGCTTTCTGCTTCAGTGTTTATAAAGATCTGGGAAGGCAAACCTTTTATAGTAATACGCTAAGCTTGAAATTATTAAGCTGTCACTCACAGGCTGTCAGACGTTGTACACAAGGCTTTGTTCATTATAGTAAGGGGTGGCAGCCTCTGCCTCTTGGTATGTAAGTAAATGTCTCTTTTTGTTTTTTTCCCATAGGTTCAGTTTAGCAACACAAAATATATAAATAACCTGTTAAAACACAGATCTATTCTGGATGAACTTTCTAAAGTTGGGGCAAATGGTATGGAATCCCCTATGCTGTAGTGTGGCATGATCCTGGCAGATATTACCTCTGCATTGTACACTAAGAATCCCAAAGGAACCTTTGTGAGAAAATGAAATATTTGCATATTTAGTTTTCCCTTATGGTCTGTGCCAGCCGGGTAATTACACAGTGACTGCTAACGGCAATGTGTTACTCTCATCATGATCAAAATGATGACTGGAATTTGTGTGTTATGATTACACATTATATCCTGCACCTGGAGGACGTATTGATTGGAGGAGAGAGAGAGACTTAATAGACTCCAGGAGTCTGACGTCAGACCGCTGCCAGAATTCAACTGCCCACTTAAAATTCACTAGACCTATCTTTCCTTAATCGTCACAGCTAATGGTAAAAAAAAATCAATTTGGAAATTTTAGGTTGAATCACGTTAATTTGTGTTTTTTCAATATCGTCTTTCATTATAACTCTTTGTTATGATCTGTTAATGCCAGTCTGAAATAGGCTGCCAAAGTCGTATTTCCAGTATCACAGTACCTACAGTATCACATACAGACAGTATCTCCAGGATGCTCATTCTAGCTACATTTGAAATTCAGTTACACCAGCAGTCATGACTTGACATTTGCAACTGAATGTGCTTTTTTAATAATGAAATGAAGCAGTAGATACTGTAGAGGGGCTTAATGTATTCCAGCTATGCTAAACCTACCAATGTATTGTTAGGACAGGGCTTTTGTGCTTACAGTAATGGTGCCATGTTGTTCCCTGGGATACGAATTAACAGCTGGTTAGTAACAGCAAACAGGTTCCTAGCAAACCTTAATTCTCCTCAATATGTTTGGTGGATAAAAAACAAATGATGTGCATGGCCGCGTTGAACAAAACTGGAGTAACAGTGAATCATGTGGATGTTTTGGAGCAGTTTCTCTTGGGGATTACGTTCCAATGCCAGTGGGATGGAGCTTTGTGTAGGCACTTGCCCTTTGTGTTAGCCACAGTGAGTAGGTGGCATACACACACACACACACACACACACACACACACACTCTTGCAGTCGCACTCACACACAAAGTCCGATCCACTTGTAATCTAAATGTAACTTTTGCCAATTTACCACCTAACAGTTTTCAGCCTCAGCTTCTGTTGAAATGTTTCATATTTTGATCCTGTGTGATCAAAATACGACCTAAAATATGATCACAGCTGCAAAGGTTGGGGAGAAAAATGTTTAGTCCTCTCATCAATAGGACGTCCTGTTGATCATTAATCATCTGAAACATAAAAAGGCGTTCTCTAAGATGATTGTGTGTTGAGCTGAAGGTGTCGTCTGCCAGGAGCTGATGCTGTTTCTACTTATTTGAGACTCTTTTCCAGCCTGCATTAGCATTTTTGCGGATGATGCACTCGGGCTCGGTAGCAGAATTTGTCTGCCACAGATGCCATATTAAAAGATGAGAGATGCTGTAGGCGAACACCTACACATGCGCACAATCATTTCATATTTCACATCACCGTTTCCACCGGGGGCCAAATTAAAGATGACACCCACTAAATATATATGTGTCGACACAAACAAAGCAAACAGCCAGCCGCAAGACTGCCAGCAAAGTCATTAGTTGCGACGCTGCATGTTTCATGTTTGAAGCAGGGAGGGGGTAGTCGGAGCTGATAGACTGGAAATAAAGAAAGTCCACTGCTGATGGATGTGAATTGTTTATACCAGCAGCAGGGTAAATATATGGCGCTTTCTGCTCGGTCTTAGACAGATGGTAGACGGTTTGAGTCTGTGTGAGGTTCTAATGAGTTTGTTGTCACTTTCTTTTAATACGTGCTTTAGGATGTGTCAGTTGTTAGGTATGTGGGGAAGGAACATTTTATGAATAATTCAATTGAGCTTATGTTTGTCAGGCAAGTGAATTAATCCTGTTCATTAGTAATAAGATGTCCAAGTACTGACAGTGACAAATAAGCACATCTGAACAATCCTCTGTTCTTGCATGCGTCGTGCCGTTTTGCCCTTTTCTGGCGTCTAGTCCATACTATTCTATCTGAAATGATATACATGAACAGAGATTGTACTAATGTATGTCATTATGAAATGCTTAAAATCGCTGTCTTTTTATATACGATGATTATGAGTCTTTAAAGTGACTTTCCCCTGTTTTGAGCTCTTTTTCACTCCTCTGGGTGAATGCAGCTCAGTTAATAATAGTCTAAGCCATAATTACAGGAGTTGAGACATGATGTTGAAACTACCGGGGGCATAGTTACGACCCTCTCCCTCTGTTGCCCTCATGATTACAGTAATTACAGCCCAAGCGGAGCCCATATCACGTGCATATCGCTGGATGAGAGCTGAAAGGCTGGACTGGAGAGGAGTGGAAGACGTTTGTGGTCCCAATAAATTTATACTGGACTCATTCAACCAGCGAGATGATTGCTTGTTAATTTCTTACTAGCAAAGGTAAAAGGTAACATAACTTATTAAGTAGCTTTAGACAGAGAGGCAGATCTCGGCTGACGATGAATTACTAGAGCAGAGTTTAGTTTGAGTTTAATGTAGGTTACCTAAAACTTAAAGTATACCACAAGAATACTTGCAATGTGTCTATTTTGTATTTTGGTGTATTTTAAGTTTTTTCTTTTCTTAGTCCTATTGCTAAGCCTTTCATTCTCGCACAGTTTATATGCTATATACACTTACTGTATATCTGGGGCAAATTTACCACTCAAAATGAATAAAATATACATTTTGGAGACAATTGTTACTTGATTCTTGTTATATAGCAGGCAACCATCAGTTTTCACAGCTGAAGTGACAACTTGGCAGATCTGATCAGCTTTAGCTTACTCGTTTTAAAACGAGAATCTTGTAAATGGTATCTTTATAA